CMMCAGAACTCTTTCAAAATGTATATTTCTTACAATATCTATCTTACTTGCTTTTATTGTGACATAATATAAATTATAATATTAGCACATACAGTGTACATGTAGGTGTCTGGTCAAAAGATTTGTGTTTAATTGAGACCTGATTGGATTGCTGGAAGTGTACTGACTGTTTGAAGACAAGATACTTTTTCCTACAGCCGGCCTCTCTCTGCCCAGGACCACAAAAGGGTACCTTTCAATTGTCAGAGTTCGTGAAGTGTTAACTTGCTAGAGGAAAAGATCAAACACTCCTTGCTGCTTAATACAATGCAAACTAGGTGTGCTTCAATCTGGCCCATTAAGGCAAGTTCCCTTCATGCAACGTACATTTTTATCATGGTCTTTCACTTTGAGGTGAGCCTGTGTTACTCACCCCAAGAGCCATGCCTCTCCTATCATAGTAAACAGAATTGAAAACCTTCGCAGGACAGTAAACATGGGAAGGCTGAAAACAACCAAAATACTGCACAGTTATATCATTCTTAAATTATAAAAAAAACAACTTCCAGTATCAACTGGTAAAGATACTTTGGGTCAGGCTAATTTGCACCATGATGTTAATAACAATAATTAATAACTGCACCCTTTTTATTATTAAAAAATTATTCTCCAAAGTTGAGGTGACTAGTGGGAGATACTTACCAAGCTACAAAGCTGAGAGGCAAATATTCATCACTTTAATTGAAACACCCACACACAGAAACTAAAAATATCAATCAATTTCTGTCAAATTGAATATACCAAAAATGTTAGGAAATTGAATAGTGCACATGGATGCATGATCTTGTATCTTCAGTGGCTCAGAGGTAAACGATACATGCATATGCACAGGCCTGTACTTGCTAATCACTTCTGAACCAGCCAATCAGAGCACACAAAAAGCATCATTCACCTGTGTGGTATACACTCATTTAATTCTGTGTGGTCAAATGTACCTTTAATCTCAAGTGTACAAATAGAAATGCTGTATACGTTAGTAACTGTAATAAGTGGTCAGTTATATACAAGATGGTTGAACTACCAGTATTATTCTCAGTGCTGTGTGCGAAATACTTATTGAACTATGATTACTGAAAATGTATAACACAATGGATTCACTCACTTGAGTCTCTTGGTACTTCCTAATCCAAAAACTAGATTACCGACATATAATAATGGAAGTGGCCAAACCTGTAAATTTTAAGTAGAGACAGAATTTTAGGTATTCTTGTATTTGATACATAAATTGTTTTTCACAAAAATAATTTGCCTGAGGTTTAAAATCTATTAGGCATAATTTGCTGAGATTCACATGAATGGAATTATTTCCAAATTAACACCAATTAATGCATCACTGATTTCTTTTTGAGAAAGTACAAGTACCTAGATTACAAATGAGAAATTTTGAACAATTGCTATACAAAAACTTCAATTGACTCTGAATATCTATCATGAAACTTCTCGCTTTAAACTCCCTATGCAATTTAAATGCTACTACAGTATAATCTTGTTTAATCCATGAGGCAGTCTATAAAAATTGGCTGATTAGGTGAATACAATTATTACATACCTACATAACTTCTACAACTTACTTTCTGAAAAGTTGATAATGAATAATCTGGAAATGAAACAACACCACCTAACTTCAGGCAATAAAGAACCACAACTGTGGCAAACATCTATCAAAAGGCAAAATAAAAGAAATTGTTGTCCTGGTTAGTGAGGTGATATCACAACATCAACCAAAGAAATGACAATGGTAGGTTTTTTCAAGTCTGTAAAAGGCAGAAAGGCCTTTCTGAGTGCTTCCGATGGCAGTTAAATATACATGTGCCAGTACGACTTTCCTATTTGTACCTCACATGCTAGAGGACTTACTAAAGTAGAGGACAGGCTATCATTAAAAAAATTTACATTTCAGTAAAACAAAGTCATGGATGGTTTGCTTCATTATGCAATCCCTCATTCATAAATTTGTTCTTGGTGGAGCTACAGGGCGAAGAGGGGAGGGGGGGATTAAAAATAAAAAAAAAAAACAATGCCACCAAAGTCTCCCTTGACAATTGACACTTGAAAGAATGAGGAAAATATATATCACAAATGTACATGTACAGTGGTACAGTAATATCATGAATTAAAATATGTAAATACATAGCAAAGTCACCATTATTATATTTGCCTTGTTTCGTGTTATATTTCAGATGTTGTGAGTTTGAAAGGAACATACGGCACATGTACGAGGAACAGATAAAAAATGTATTTCCAAAACATTTGTGACATACTGTGAAGTTGTCACATCTCAAAAATTAATTTTTATAAGAACATTTCTTTTTGTCATTGAAACAGAAGTGAATTTTTTCGAGAAGGAATCTCAAAATCAAAGCATTCATGTTACGCGGCGCTGCTTGAAACACAAAGCAAACAATCTTACTATATTAAAAAGTCAGTAATTTAGGGCTAAAACCTGATCAAACAGTTACGAAATTCATAGTCAGCACGACATCGAGCCACTGTTTGCATGTCTCAAGGTAGTCTACATGTGCATCAATCAATAGGTTCTTTATAAAGGGTCGAACCGCGAGAGAAATTAATTAATCGAATTCAACATGGAACCAAATTAATGGCCATTTAGCGCCACGTCTACAAGCTAGGTTAAATTGAGTTACCTGTCCAATTCCAAGGAACTGGAATGATGGAAACCTGAGAAAATACAACAGAAATATTTAGCCGCACTAAAATTTAGATTCCCAAATCAGAGCATTCATATGATTATTCAGGCATAATCATAATAAAATATCAAATTAACTTACTTATAAGTTGTCAAAACAGTTTTGTTGATCACAACGATCAAGAAAGAGCAAACACCATAAAACAGGGCAGTCAGTACTCTAGTAAGAACTGTAGCTCTTTTTCCCTCCGCCATGATGCTCCCCGAAGTAAGTTCTCGACAAGCTCTTTATATTGGTTGCTAACCTACCGATACAAATTAAATGCACTGTTTGCGTTTGTAGAATAAATATAACTGACCAGTTTGAATGGCCGCCATATTCTAACAACAGTGAAACCGCTGATGAGTGAAACCTGTTTTTCGTGTTTGAGTCATGTGATCTGTGTTCCAAACAAATTCGTCGCATTTGAACAATGAGCAGAACAAAGATGGCTACTGGTACACACCGTTTTTACTTTCTGTTTCCCTTCGTTTTGCTCTCGATCTTGCGGTCTAGTTTCGCGGATAAATCGTCGGGTATCCTAGATGAGTGTAAGGAAAGCTGTGAGCGGAGCTACCCATTACATACATACCCAAAGGTAGTCATTCGTAATTTATAAATTATGAAGAGTGCGTGCTATTCTCAAATCTGTTGAGGATGTCGCCACTCCTTGCTGGTGTACAAAGCATTTATGTTGCAGCTGGCGTCCTTCACCTCAGTTAAGTTAATATTAAGTTTCTCATTTTTATCACGCTCTATCTATACTTAGGAAGAACCTTCTCTTGCTTGTAAACAAGGTTGCAGGCTATCGGCTATAGCACAACTGAAGGCTGGTTACTCAACCTCCGAAAATTTTACAGCAGTCTGCATAACAGGTAAACTTTTCGTTCGTAATAAGCTACAATGTATCCCTAAATTTTGGCTAAATCTTATTCTCCGCAGAACTGAGAAGAAAAGACTAGTATTTTAAACACAGGTGTACTTACGTATGATGCACGATCCTCGCAGTAGAGAGCGCTATTTATGCAATGGCGAAAATCAGACCTAAATAGCGCTCTCTACTGCGAGGATCGTGCATCATACGTATCTATAACCGCAGTTCAAAATATATGAACTTCATATATTCATCACACATGTACTTATAAGTTTTCTGTACAAGGTTAAAAATACGAATTTTAATTTCCCAACCTTATTTGTTTTCGCTTTGACCGAAAATTTATTCTGGAAAATACGAAAGATTCTTTAAGGTACGTCTTCGTTACCTGGATACATGTTGTAGCTGAAGTTTATCAGCCGCATCCATTTGTTAGTGTGGAAGTAATTTTATGGGTATTCGGTGAAAACTTTATCAAAATGACAGACAACCACTTATTGATTGGGACAGAGGACAACCTTCCCTAGTACTTCTATTGCTCCTACATTTAGTACATTTTTACAAGCATGTAAATGTCTTAGAGCAATTAAGTAAAAAACTGAAGTCATCCAATGAAACATGATAATTTATTTTGGAGCCTTTGATGTTTCCCCATAGCTTGCTGTTACTTCTGCATGAGAATAAAGATTCTTTTCTTTGTTTCTGACTCCTCATTTACTTCCACAATTACTTGAGTATCAAGAGAACTGTTTTTTTGCTTGCTTTTGGCATGATTTTATTATTAAAAAAAAAAAAGAAAACAAAGCGAAATGTATATTTCTGCCTCGTGGTACTTAAGGGTCCTGGAAATGTATATGGTTCAACAAATGTACAATGGCTGGTTTAATTTGACCATGTGGTGTAAAATAGTAACACATTTAATTGTTTCAGTAAAGTTTTTTTTTTTTGGCCATTTTTAAGTTGAGTATGATTATTCCATCTTAGTTTTTTGGACATTGCTCTGAAGGAACCCTTTGCCCATACATGTACACACATTACTAAACTTGTATAACTATAAGTAATATAACTTATTAATGCTCGCCACAGGTATGACTGGTACCTACATGTACATGTACATGCACATGCTCTTGTCATCAACCTTTTCAGGAACCAGGGAGAATTTTTATTAAAACATCAATATTTGAAAATGATGATCAGTTTCCTTTTTGCTATTCAAACAGATAATTTAGTGTACAGTACAGGATTAGTGTTGAGACATAATAAAAAAATTGAAAAGAAATTACCAGAACATTTTGCTTATTTACCTACAAGTTGCAGCTGCAATAGTTTTTGAAATCAGTTTTGTCAAAATCCTTGTGATTTTGTTTGTTTTTTCCTTTTTTCAGAGGATAAAATCATTAGCGGTTTCGTTCCTCAGTCTAAAGTTACTCCAAAATTTCCCTGGGGCTAATTTTTTTTTAAAAAAATTTAGTCAGAGGATGATTCAAAATTGGAGATGCATCTATCAGGTTGTTTAAAGTATTGGTTAATAATTCAAGTAAACATGACAACTGCTGAAAAAAAATTTGTCTGTATTTCAACCAATAGCTTAAAAAGTATGATCTGTTTTGCTCATGGCTGTCTGACACCTCTCTTCATTTTACAACAGAGTTCAAGGGTGCCTATTTCCCTAATCCATTTGCTTGCTAAATGGATTAGGGAAATAGGTAGTTTTAAGTAAAACTTGTAGTTTTAAGTAAACAGGATATTTTATCACATAATCAACTTCTTAATTAATGGCTCGTGTCTCACTAGCAGCTGCAAAGCGGGGGAGATTGTTGAAAATTTTAGTTTGTTTGAAGAAAGTTTAATTTACTCTTCTCTCCTTACACTGTTTAACTTAGTACATTTTCTAGAAAAACTGGATAGAAAAAAAAAAATCTAAACTTGGGGATATTATCAGAAATGTACATGTATCTACTTGTCCTTTTTTCAAACCAAAAATTATTTGTTTCATATACTAGTAATGTAACACAAGTAAACTTATACAGGGTTCGTACAAAGTCTTGAATTCTTGAAAAATTCTGGAAATTTGCGAACTACTTTTCCAGACCTGGAAAAAGTATGGAAATTAAAGGCAAAGTCTTGAAAAATGGGATTAAGTCTGGAATTTTTCTCAAGGAACAACAGGTGTTTAAAAGCTAGCTGAAATCTTTGCAAAGTAGCTGATTTCACTTTAATTAACTTGGCAAACGGCAAAACACTTTATTAATAAGAGGCAGTMKGKYSGRRRARG